TAACAATATACTGAAGTTAGGTCTAAAAATGTCATAGCTTCTATGAAACATTTTCAGTGAAACAGAAGATATGTGATTAAATTCAAAGCCTTATCCGACATGCTTTGGCTTCTCGCGGGATGTGAATATGTTAATGGGGATAGGGTTCCAAAAGTATAAAGATATGTCATGTTTTATGAGATACACCGTTTCAAATTATTGGGAAAGTTACACAGTACAGTACGGATGTGAGTGTGGATGACAAGCTGGCATGACAGGTGTTTCGTCCTTATTCAAAGGGCTCATTCAAGTGGTAAATAGTAGCTGAGAATTTTTAGAAGAAAAATCCTAAGTACTATAATTATATTGTTTGCCTAGAGTGAAATGCTCTAAGTAATGATAAATTCATGTTATAGATGAGCATATCACGATCGGTTTCGTCCTTGCTCATCGGACTTCTCCAGTGGTTTAAGATATCTCGAACGATTTCGAGAATCAATCAAAATATCTTCAATACTGTTGTATGAAAAAAAAAGTTTTTGACGGAGTGTAAAAATTTACACAAACTATGGTATCAATTTAGATTAACATATTACGAGCAGTACCAACGAGAAATAGATCGACTTATATTTACACAATACAAATCAATCTGCTAGTGTCAACTTTTGCTTTTCCGACATTGATTTAATGTCGACAGTTAGATATTAAATAATATTTAAATTTTCTCGAATTACAATACTAAGAGAAATGCAGAGTTCATTTCGCTTTTTTATTTTTCACAAAACATGTGACCTCCTTTTTATCGGACAAAAATATAATGCAACCAACTACAATTAAACAAATTAATAGTAAAATTCGATGTCAGTTAGAACAGAAAAACAAAACAAAAACTTTGTTCAATTTTGATTATGCTTGATACATATACATATGTCGAATTTTCCTTGTATTTGTCTCTCACGTAAATTCAATACAACTTTTACCAAAAAAGCGAAAACAGCTGGAGGATATCTTTATTTAGCAATTCTTGATAAAATCCATTGTAATTGATTTTCATTAAACAATTTACTACGAAATCATATTCTACATTGATTCTTACGTACACTTTCTATTTTTTCTACTTGATCGTTTTCATCAATCATTTCAGCCGTATTTTGAGCATTTAGATGATTTTCAGTAGAAATTGTGTCATTATTAATATTACTATTCTCATTATGTCTTACAGAAATAGATGACGTTGAATTTGGCGTCACACGAGGAAGAAGATCAATTGTTGCTCGTTCTCTGACAGTAATTTCGTCTTTTAAATTTTCATCTGGATATTCAAAACTGTTTGAATTCGTATTACTATCATCATCATCAGTTGTAATTGACTTTCCATTTGGTACACTTTCTTTTGCAGAAATTTTGTTTTTGTACCTTATTATTGATAATAATTCTTCTTCAGCAAAAACTATCATCATCATTGGAGCTGAGATCGTTAGACATTGATGTAATATGAACTTCGTTTGTTTAATGATTTTCAATTAGAATAATGTAAAATATAGTAAGTTGTCAGAGTTGTTAATGTGTACTACGATATATTACAATAACATCATTACCACAATCAATCTCACCAATATCTTCATTATAAAGAGCTACTTTTCAGAATAGCATACCAGGACCGGTTTCGTCCTTTCTCAACAGACTCCTCAGCTGCCTTAAGACATCTTCATCGATTGCAAAAAACAATTACACAATCCTTTTAATACTCGTATCAAGGCAACATTTTCCACTATATCCAAAAAAATACTGAAACCGGCTACACCTCCGACGAGCGTACCAAGTCGTATTCCCCACTGCTCAAAGTACTCATTCAAATGGCAATTAACAGATCGGAACTATTAGATACTAAGAAATAAAATTGTACCCTAAATAATATAATCAATCTAAGCTAGATAAAAAAATATTTAACAATACTTGCGATTTTACGTACAAACGGTAAAACTTAGCTTTTCCGAAAATGACACGTGACCATGCACCAAAAAAATTTACTATACACAGAACCCCTTTACAACAAGTCGAAATACTACAAAACATCCAAATACACAAAAAAAACCTTCTCACAAAAATTATAATATCGACACGTGACCACCATAACCACAAGCGTGAAAATTCCAAAGAAAACATCCCAATAACTCAACAATAAAACAAGCTATCAAAAACGTTATCAGAGACCGACCTCCTATTTTTTCAAGCTCTATCCAATGAAGCCAACCAGATTCTCCTAAACCTTAAAATAACGAAAGGGCATCGAGTACTTTGAAAAAAACTCGAAGTCTGTATATAAAAGTAATGAAAAGTAGATTGATGAACTGTTGAAGAAATAGATTCACTGTGAATATATAGGGTGTGTGTGTATGTCGATTGGAATAAGAAAATAATAC